CTGCAAGTGACCCCTCCTTTGTTTGATGTCGTTGTTGCGTCACTGATGTTGTTGTTGACTGGACATTTTCAGATGAAATTATTCACAGATGTTCACTTAAAACATATCTGCCAGTTAGGTTTATATATGTTGAAATTAGTGTGAGTAAAGAAAGTATGAATGTCAAATTGCAATTTTTAATGGGGTACTAGTATTACGAAGGAAAATGAAAGACAAATAGATGTGACAATTAAAGCAATGGACATACAGTGGAAGCTGTCAAAACCAGCAGCTGTCCAATCCGGCAAGTTGTCAACACCGGCACAAAATCTCAGTCCTGTCCATGGCTAGTACATGTATCATCATTTAAAAGCTCTGCAATCCGGCAGCTGTCAATTATGGATCTCGGCATGAAATGAGCCGCCTGAATATGTGTTTATATAGTAATCAGCGCTGTCTAATATGGCGCATGGCGAAGAGTCGGCTGGATGTGTATTGTCACCAATTAATCCTTCGCTGAAACTACATGGTTGCCAACAGAGATAGTTTAATCTTAGTTCAGTATGGGTAAACTTGTACATGTAATTAGTGAAAATTGTCACTCATTAGGGATGTTAAATAAGTGAATATGAGCAGAAATCTTTGTCTTTTATTGTCAGTGTGTGCAGTAATTGAGATAACCATGTGATACAGCAATGTATATGAGAGTGACAAAACTGGTTCAGTTCTAGTCGTAGGTAACCGTTTCAGCTCTACAATCCGGCACTCTGTCTAAACCGGATTATTTCTTCAGTCCCAACGAGTGCCGGTTTAGAGAGCTTCCACTGTATATCATTCATTAATAGTTGGAACACCAAAGGATATCGTTACGAAATTTACACAGCTAAGGCAGTAACATTTACAACACACATAATACACTTCTACAGGCCCACATAATGGGATACAAGTTGGGGACCGACTGTCTATTGGGGAAATGGTAGCTGATGACAACCAACTTCCGGCTGAGCATGGACTGGGCTTGCCCCCTTTGATTCTGGGAGAATGAGAATCAGCATTGATAGATCACTAAACTTCGTTGTTGGCAACTTAGCCGAGGGTCAGAACGAAAATGTGGAGAGGAAGGTCAATGCCATGATTAAGGAGGGATTGAAGTTAAGTCACATTAAAGTCACATCTGCGGTTAGCAAAAGAATCCCAGTATCGTCGCTATCCCTGGTGATTGCTACATGTAGAAGTGACACAGACAAGAAGAACATAATGAAGGCAAAGTAAAAACTCAAAGAATCGCGAGTTTACTAAGACATTGACATTATCTCCAGAAGAGAGGGCAAATGTGGCCAACTTCTGTACGTTAGTATCAGAGGAATGACCTCATCACAGTAACTGTGAGATTCCCCTGAATGTAAACAAGATCTGTCTTACCACTGTATAAAATGCCTGCCCACACCATAACACTAAGCCCCGCCAAATCTGTCGACTTCCTGAACACAGTTTGCAGGAAAAATGTTCATGACATCATCTATACGTGATCTTCCGTCTGGACGTCTCAGTAGAAACTGTGACTCGTCACTAAAAATGACAGTTCTCCATCTCTGCATAGGCCATGGCCGATGGTTGACACACCATTGCTGTTGTAGCTGACGATGTTGTTGTGTGAGGATGACTCCTCGTGCTGGTCTTCTGGGATGAATACTGCCGTCATGTAGACAATTCCTAACTGTCTGGTCTGAGATCCTCTGAAGCCCAGGCAATGAGGTTGTGGTAGAGGATGCCGTAAGGATTCTGTCACATAAGTGCCGTAAACGGATGAATCTGTCTTGGGCAGGCATGGTGATGTGTGGTCTTCCGGAGTGCGCTCAATCCCGTGTGGTCCCATGCTGTTGAAAATGATGCCACAGTCTTCCTATTGTGTTCTGGGACACCAGCCCTGTTTCTACCTTCATACAACTAAGACAGGGATATACAGGTTATATACGCTTTGATAAACACAAATCTCTAAATATATTGTCAACAATCACAACATTGCCTTTGTTTACTTATCCGCTGCTCAAATTCAGTTGAAGCAATTATATGAATGTATGTGGTGACTGTTTTTTAATGAAAAAAAAGAATAGTAAAGAAATACAGAAAAATATTTCCCATGTCTGCTACATTGTCCACCTTTTTGATATAATTTGGGAATCTGGAATTTAAGAAATCATTCTTATCCTACTTTGTTTTAATGAACTGCCAGTATTTTGGGATATTAATGTAAGAAAGAAAGAAAGAAAGAGAGAGAGAGAGAGACAGAGAGAGAGGAGACAGAGAGACTGCCTAGTTCTGGTTTAAATTAATACTAATCTGATATATCAATTATTGAATATTTGATTGGATTAAATTATTCATATCTTGATTAGATTATAATTTTGTTTTATCAGCTAATTACTTCCTGAAGGACACTATGGTGCCCCTAACACATTATTATTAAAAAATATCTTACTATCATTTCCAGTGAATTAACACTTTTATTTCACTCTGTCCAATTTCAGTAACTTCTTTTCATTCTAACATTGTGATATTTCGATCAACCCTAAAAGAAATCAGAACGCGGTCAGATTTGCTGTCATGTCTCTCTTGCCTGTGTCATTTCAGCATTGGTATCAAATTTCTGAAAATGAATTCAACTCAATAAGCAGTTCCCTTATCTGAAGTTTTTAATTTATCATTAAAGCTGATATCTGGACAGAAGCATCTGTTGTTCCTATACACACAAAAAGCAGTATAAATGAATGCTCTAACTACCAACCAGTAGCACTAACATTAGTAACAAGTTGTGTAGCAAAGATTTTCGCAAAATGCATCTTTAAACATGTATTTAATTCATTTAATTACTTTAGGGATAATAAAATACTCACAAACTTACAATCCGGTTTTATGCGAGGCATTTAACGGTAAATCAATTAAAGTTACTGTATGACTATATAACGGGCGCATTAGATAGCGGTAAGAAAATTAGACCTGTATATTGTGATGTAGGTAAGTCCTTTGACAAGGTTTGGCATAAAGGTATTATACAGTACAACCAGAAATTATTGAGAATTTAAAGATTGTAAATTTTTGATTTTTTTCACTCAATTCTCACATATTAAATGTGAATATTAGCAGAACATAACTCCAGATTCAAAGACAGGTGAACAGTTAGTATTTTGTCAAGTCACCATGGGCAGCAATGCAGACTTCAATGTGGCAGGGCATACTACTGATCAAAGAAGTTATAAAGTCGTGGTCCACGCTGTCCCAATATCGGACCACCTCTTCTTTCATTTCAGCAATATTTGTCAGATGTTTCTTATTGACACTTTCCTTCACAAGTCCCCAAACATTTTCTATTGGATTTAGGTCAGGGCTATAGCTTGGCCAATCTAATAATGTCATATTTTGGGTCCGAAACCAGACCTGTGAATGCTTTGAACGATGTTTTGGGTCGTTGTCCTGCTGGAAAATCAAAAATTTCCATAGAACAAGTGAGCAGATGGAAGTAAATGTCCCTCGAGAATATCTGTGTACCGCTCACTGTTCATATTCCCTTCAAATACACAGAGGGGCGTTGCCCCTAACACATTATTATTAAAAAATATCTTACTATCATTTCCAGTGAATAAACACTTTTATTTCACTCTGTCCAATTTCAGTAACTTCTTTTCATTCTAACATTGTGATATTTCGATCAACCCTAAAAGAAATCAGAACGCGGTCAGATTTGCTGTCATGTCTCTCTTGCCTGTGTCATTTCAGCATTGGTATCAACCCACATGTTAAATTTCGTACTGTACTTTGGGCGCTGATACAAAGGTTTTTCAGTTTGTTTGGTCCAGAATTTCAGTGTATTAGGAAACAGCCACACAGAACTTTCATCTGAGAAAATCGCATTGTTAAAAAATTTATGCTGTAAGCACCAGTTCAACTTTCGCTCCTTTTGTTCAGGTTTCATGATCGGTGATGGAATTCCTCGACTTTTCTGCCAACCCATTGCATGCAGCTCAGTTCTAATTGTCTCCTTACAGACAGCCACAGTTCCTATATCAATCATGTCCGGCCTTAAGATTTCTAAACTCCTTCGTTTGTTTTTAGAAACAAGAATACCAAGCCGCCTCCTGTCACCGACAGTCAATTTTCTGGGCCTACCTGCACCTCCCTGGTGCTCAATGCCATATCCATTTGCAATATTTTTCAAAACACAATAAACAGTGGACAAAGGGATGCCTGTTCTACGTGAAATCACTTTAGCTGATCTGATGTCCTTGTTATAATACTCTAAAATCAACTTCCTCTTCTCTAAATTATCCATACTGTCGTCTGCTAGCAAGTAAAAAAAGGGGGATAACTCTTCACAAACTAATGAAAAAGGATTACCGGAGTTATCTTTCTTGAATGAAAACAAGCACTTGATAGCTGGTCAAGGTTGTTTAAACTAGAAATCCAATTAAACATATTCCTAAAATTCTCAATAATTTCGGGTCATACTATACATAAGCCAAGAGGTAACTTGTTAAAATGGTTTGAGAGTTATCTATCTTAGCTGGGGTTCCCCAAGGCTCTGTCTTAGGACCTTTATTGTAAATAGTATATATCAACGACATCGTTGAAGGAATTAACAGTAATATTTGTCTCTTCGCAGGTGACACATCACTTTTTATTACCCATACAGGTGGGGAAATCCTGTGTAATATCTTTTTGACATTTGCACACTGTGCAATTTAGTGATTCTTGATGTTGATTGGTAAATTGTATATTTTTACATTTTCATTGGATGCCGGTACTACTTTCACACCACTATGTTCATTCATATTTTTTGTAATCGATTCATTGATCGTGCTGTAATTGCACTGATTCGAGATTTTGAAATAAAACAAAAAAAACATACAGGATTTCGATTTTGATGCGTATTTAATGCTTATTTCATACTTCAGTAATGATATGGCGTTGATTACTTAACAACACGTTTCGTAATAAAAAATTCTCTAATCGTATCTTGTAAACAGGCTACCCAGTTAACTGCAATCAACGTCAATGACTTGGTCAAGGTGGACGGATACATTACTAGACGGGTAACGAGAATAATACAACCACTAAATTCCTTTTTGCTAGAATGTGATAAAGTCACAAAGTATAGACTGAAAATGTTGCCGGAAATGATAGTGATACCGAGCATCACGCCACAAGTCCCCACTTACCAGAGAGTGTCATAAATGACTTACTGCTAGATGATTTTGGACATGCACGCACGCACACACATCCCAATTGAAAACAAAACTTTTGACAGGTTTGTTCCAGTTTTTGACCATGACATTGAAAACTTTTTGGTTGCGAATGAATACTGTTGTCGACTCGGACTCGGACTAAATTTAGAGTAATCGTTCCTGACATGGACACTTACGCGAGCCAAAACAATGTCACAGTCCCTTTCAGCAAAATGTTGACAAACATTCATAATTGTGTATCGTCTTCATGAAAAAAAGGTTCAGCATTCCTACGTTTTATTGTTCCCTTGCAGATTTTCAATGTTTCATAAGTTAACGTTAAAAAAATTTGACAGGTTTTTGCTGTTTTGTATCCATGAACAGTCACCCACCTTCTGACACGAGTAGGCTAGATCGACACATTTTCGATCTACGACTAAATATTGAATATGTGATTATAATTGTTGAAAATAAACTTAAACTTTACAAGGGGGAGTGGTTAATAAAATCGCCATCAAATGAATTTTGAAACTGTTTAATTGCGTTATTTTTCATACCGTTTTCTACAGTACTGCATTGTGGTTCGAATGCGATTCCATTAAGCTTGAGCAGTTTGGTGTCATCTGCACATTAATACAGATCAGCTGATTTAGTTGAAAACACTTACATAAGAAGATGTGGCTTTGAGTTAACAAATACTGGTTTCTTGGTTTAATTACAGAATGAGTAATAAATAGAATAACCCACGAGGTACAAGTGATTATGAGAAATACATCCTTCATGAAATTAATGTTCAACTCACTCGCTAAAGCTCAGGACAGTGAGCATTAATTTCACTTGAGACATATTTCCCATAATCACTCGTACCTCGTGGGTTATTTTCTAAATCTTATAATGATATACGTAAAATTTCTGATTGGGCTGACAAATGGTAAGTTACATTTAATCCTAATAAACAGATTCAATACAATTTTCTCGTTAAGTACAGCGTAGGCCAAAGCCACATTTAAAGGTAAGTGCTGAAATGTTATGCCATTATGAGGCCTTTGTTTGCCGAGCTAAACAGGCCAGAGTTACCGCCCTTTGATTATGACGTAATTGGTGCCACTTGATTTTAGACTGGTCTCCTGTTTTGTCACAGATCAAAAGATAATAATACTGAAATTAATCATGTGAAAAAAGTTTGTGAAAATACAAAAGAAGCACAAGAACTGAAAATTTAAGCCGCATGACAGATTGATCGTGTGTATTTTCATTCATAACCTCACCTCAATGAAAATACCAAATATGTATAACAATGTTGACGTATTTATGACATCACTATCGGGAAGCGATTTTCTCAAAATGGCGTGTTCACTGATATAAGTACGTCAGATTTTTTAAAGGAAACTTTCGTTGTTTCAAGCAACGTATATGCATAATTAATGTGACGTGTAAGTAGTCTGAAACATTCTGACAATCTGCTGGTTATTTTCTTTTTGTTTTCATTGTGACCAAGGGAAATAGTCAGAAATGAGGAGAAATACCATCATCGGTGTGCGTGAGTTTGCGTCAGTCATGGCATCCTGCTTTTAGAAACTATAATATGTTGTGAGGGATCTAGGAAACTATTGGAATACTCCTATCTTATTTAACTATTGCTTGCTATGATCTTTCCCATGCCTGGTCTAAAACAAATGAGCAAAGGTATGCAACAAAAGTAGGCGAACTGATACACAATTCAAACAAGTGGTCCATTCCCAAAGCGGCATCTGATATATTTCATTAAATATCACTGAAACACTTACTTCTGGTGACAAAGACCATTTGTCTATAGTTTGAATTGTATGAGGAATTCAGGGATTCGCGTAAGGAAGATGGTGTTGAATTATACAATTGATTTTATGGGCGAAACAAAACCCACATACCTGTGACATGATTTTATAAACACTCTGTTATATGGCTGAAAATTCACTTTGACGTTAACTGTGTTTGCATATTTTCCAAAACATTCTGAGCGATTATCGGTTCATCGATAATATTTCAGAATGAGCATTGGTGATTTGATCAAAGAACAATGAAAATACCGCTGATCACAAGTGATACATTTTTTTCTTTCTTTTAAATTCAATTCTTGCAGTAAAATTTGACATTTAAATAACGATATACTATAAATTGCACAAAACACAGTGAATGGTGATTTCGTAATGTGTCAAAACTGGCCAGATTTACGATGCATGTAATTTTCAGTATAATCTGCCTTACAATGAGCTGATGATATCATTGAAAAACGAATTTCAAACAGAATTAAAAACTCCCAATTGCATTTATCTTGGTGATGTATTTCGATATGGTATCGATATCAAAGTGAAGGTGGAAGAGGAGGGACATGTATCGTACGATTTATGTAGGAATTAAGTAACACACATAGAATGCCGGAGTAGCAAGCCATTTCTTTCCCGGTCAAAACATTCCCCTGGGAGAATCTGGCCTAGGCCAAACTTTCCACAGGGAAGTTTTGACCTAGGATAAAGGTTTCCCGGGTAAAGTTTGGGCTAGGCAAAAGTTTCCCACCTGTTTAAACTAGGATATTTTGTTCTGATTCTGGCCTAGCTAGGCCACTTCTTCCCCACCCTTGTTCTTATATCAAAAGGGGGAGATTCTGGCCTTGCTAGGTTACTTCTTCCCCACTCTTGTTCTTAAACTGACAGTAGTTTTGACTTAAATTTTGGTACACATTTTTGCTAAATAGTCAATTCTTGCCTCTGACCTGGGTGTAGTGATTTGAATGCATACATGTTCAAACAGCATATATCTTTAAATCCATCCTGCTCCTGTCGCCATTCCTATGAAGACACATTGCATTAGTTCTTCACCTGTCCAAATCATGTCACCATAAGATGCAAACATTCAATCGCACATTTGATGGGTAAATAAGATGCAATATACACGGGTTGCTTGCTCTCTTATTATGCTGTTTATTATCTAATATTTGTAGCATTTATGTATAAATGTAATGGAACATCATTTACATAAGCTTGATTACTAATCCATAATCACTTTTGGTGAATGAAATAGGTTTCAGATATCCATGGGCCAAGTATACACCTTGTCAAACCTTATCTTTTGAATTTAGAATAATGCACATAGTGGAATGATAGATGATACAGCATTTGATATAGATATTGTGTTGGGTTGTTGTTGAGAGAGGGAAGAAGGGAAAGACAGTTAGGCCAAAGTTTCCCCGTGGAATGTTTGGCCAGGAGGAAAGTTTGGCCTGTTACACCGGCACATTCACCGATGGCAAGCTATATGTTTTAGTTTTTGTGAAAGAACATACTGTTTGAAAGACGACAGACTCAGGTTGAATGTTATACAATTTGGTTATGTGGTAACACTTTTTTTACAATGTATACGTTTTTTCAAACTGCAATGACACTACAGTGTGGAACTGACCACATAGCCAACTGACAGCCAGGCAACAGGTGGATTAAAACAGTAGCCTGCGCATCGAGACACAAGAACCATACCTATACCTGCACCACGTGAAATGGTTCTAATAAGGTCTAACAACGTCATTCGTTTATCAGTTGTGCACCGGAAAAGTGCAAGACAAAATGATTAATTTTCATGTAAATTTGCCCTTTAATAATGAAGGATAGTAATGTTAATGATGTTTATAATCATAAACATTTGGGACTTACTTTACAGCATGATTGTTCCTGGACTGATCATGTTAGTTGTATCACTAAAAAGGCTGCACCCATGGTAAACTGTCTTACAGGTTTTAAATATCGTTTCTCATGTAAAACCATACAGTGTACAAACAATTTATTTTGCCTAATTTCGATTATTGTTGTCACATTTGGGACAATTGTACCAAACAGCAAGCACTAACAAATGAAAAACTTCATCTTGATGCACTTACAACCCGGTCGTCGGGCAATGGCATTGTTCAACCAACCCCTGATTACTATACGGCCACAATAATGGATCTACTAAAGATAATCTTGAAATACTAGTATCTATCCATTCTTTCCTTGTATTGTCAGGCAGATTTGCGTTGTATGTAGTTCAAACAAAATTGCACTGACTTTCCAACACTAATTGCAATACTGTTAAAAGCAGAAAACTATTGTTTATTTGTTACATGTTTTTTCCTCATGATTGTTATATTTATACCACATTTGTATCCCGAGTGGTATTCAGATAAGCAACATACTGCTTGTTGACCAATCTGGTTCCACTTTTGGAAATTAATGGGGCACTGATCCAGAGTGATTAATGTTTCTCGCCAACAGTAAAATTACGAAGCCAAGCTGCACGCTGGTCGGTCTACTCCCATTTGGGACACAGAATATTCATACATATTAAAACATTGAACAAAGTCCAGTTTGGAAACGCCAAAAATATTTCATTCAGACTTCCAGAACTACCAAAAGGCACCAGTACACCACCAGATCAATGTATGTGCCAAGTTTGGTGAAGAAATAGTGAACGGTTTTAGAGTTCTGCTCCGGAAAAGAGCACTACCACAAAATTCAGTCAAAGTCAATCTTTTGCCATGGAAACGCCAAAAATATTTTATTCAGAATTCCAAAACTACCAATAGGCATAAGTACACCACCAGACCTATCTATTTGCCAAGTTTGGTGAAGAAATAGTAAACGGTTTTAGAGTTAAGCCCCGGAAAAGAGCACTACCACCAATTTCAGTCTAAGTCAGACTTGTTGCCATGGAAACGCCAAAAATATTTTATTCAGAATTCCAGAATTCCCAAACTACCAAAAGGCACCAGAACACCACCAAAATATTGAACGGTTTTAGAGTTCTGCTCCGGAAAAGACAAATGTGCACAGATGGACGGACGGATGGAAGGACGGAATCCATTTTAATAGTAATAATACCCCCCGCAAAACGCGTTGCGGGGGATAATAAATGTATTTATTAACCTTTGTCTGCTCTTTTCGATCAGCAAGTACCGATGTTGACCTACCTGC